TGTTTGTGAAAAATAACGGGGACAGAGCTGGCTGCTGTCAGACGAACAGCTGTTGCGGCGTCATCACAAACGGACGTCGCTTCACGTGACGCTCCGGAGGAAAGGACGTCCCATTGCTCTTAAAACTCATTTCCCTGCTTCTCGTGGTTTCCTTGCGTCTCTCCATGCTTCCCTGGTGGGAGGGACTCTAAACGCAGGGAAACGACGCAAGTGAGGGACGCAAGGATTCCATTATCGACCTGAGACGCAGCCAGAGACAGAAAGCACAGGCAAGATGGGGGTGAACACTTTTCAAAATAAAACAGGAAACCAAAGACAGATCAAGACAAAACACAACACAGACAGATCGTGACAGTATCCTTCTGATGTTGTAAAGCGTGTATCTGCAGCAGCGGGTTGTAGCAGCGATGTTGCAGTGAAGGACAGGTTGTTATCTAGGGTCACACCCAGATTCCTTGCAGTCTGAGTCGGGGAAACAACAGAGGTGCCGATGTTGATTGTTAGGTCAAGAGTGGGAGTACACTAAAAGAAAAAGACAAGGCACAGTGTAATGCCTGTTAAAGAGCCTGTGACAGCCTCCCAACAACTGTTGTGAAATGAAATATTGGGCTACTAGTAATCTCAAACCGTCAGCATAAAAATGAAGGTGCGATACCGTTCCGATAAATATCAATAATTTTGAACATCGCGGGGAAATTCCTTCGACTCATTTTGAAGTTTTGGGGGAAGCCGGAAGTGACGTCAATGCGGGAATGCTTCACTGTGCGGCGAGAGCCAAACACGGACAAAGTGTGTTGTCATGCGTATGCTTAGAAATGGTGAATTACTGAGTTTAGGCACGTTAATAACGTTTTAATGAAGTTGACTACAGTATATTCATATTTGTTAGTGCTTTTCATGTCAATTCGGCGAACATAAACATAAATGATCGTGGTGAAGATGATGATTAAATTAGGATTACATTTCCTCCCGTCGGATGTGATATAAAAACAAACCGATTATTTTTGTAGTTGTAAACTCAAGTGGATTAAACTACATTTATTAGTGCTTTCATGTCAATTCGGCGAACATATGATACATTAAATGATCGTGAGGATGATGATTAAAAATCGTTTGTTTGAGCCGGTCTGCATTTCCTGATGAAAAAACAAACCGATGCTTTTTGTAGTTGTAGTACACCAACGTGGATTAAACGTGTGGTTTTTTACCACAATGTTGGGGAAATGAATGGATAAAATGCACGGATTATGATTTATGATCATGATTATTATTATTATTCCCACTCCGATCGGGACACTAGGTCCACCGTTTCCCCGCAGCGAGGGTCCCCCCGTTGACAGTTTACGTGGGCTGGGCTGGGTGCAGTGGCGGACTGGCCATCGGGACGAATCCCGATGGGCCGGTACCGAAGTGGGCCGGTCGGATAAGTCACTAGCACATCCCCACTCCCCCCGTTGACAATTTACTAGCGGTACCGAAGTGGGCCGGTCGAGAGTCCCGGGCTGATTTTAAGTCCCAGTCCGCCACTGGCTACATGACCGTATTATCGCCCATATTGACGGACCTAATTCCTAAACTTCTAACAGATAAAACATAAACTGATTAGTGTCCACTGCCATTATTTTAAAACAGAATCGTTATTTAGTCAAACTCCGTAAATAAAATAGTTTACAAACCATTCCACATTGTTCAAGCGTTGTAGATCGAGAGGTATCTCACAATCGTCGGGCGGGTTGTCGTCTCCACTGTCCGACTCGGAGTTCATTTAATCCGATTCAGACTCAGAGGCATTTGAAGAATCCCCGAGAAGATCCAGAATATGGTCAACATTGAAGGGGAGATTAATGGTTATCAAAGTACAAATATCCCAAATCAGTTCAGTAACGGTTTCAAGGGGGCAATATTTACTAAAATTGATGGGTTTGGATGATGGGGGAAACCCGTGTCACAGGCTCTTTAATAGCTTGCCACAGGCATAGCTCAGTCAAATAAAGCACAGCTATTGTGCAATACATTTGTATTGCATGTATATTTTTTATTTGTAAAAATGTCAGTTAAAGCTTAAAAGAATAAAGATATTTTTGTTATCTAAACGTTTGACCTCTTTATGTTACAATTTTGGAATCGAAACGGGGAATCGATAAGAACCGGAATCGATAAGCAGAACCGGAATCGGAATCGATACATTTCAAAACAATACCCATAGTATCATACCACTAGCAGCACCCCCCCGGGGCCCAGAGCCGGCCAGGGGCACATGCAAAAAAAAAGATGACTTTGCTCCATTTCATGTCATGTGATACCTTGCGTGACGAGCGAACCGTTTAATCAACCTCAAAAGTTATAGGTACTGTAGCTAGCAGCAGCAATTTCGGCAGGATTATAAAAAATGGAATAGCTTGCATTTATAATGTACAGCAAACCAAAGCACAAGAGTGGCGCTCAAAAGAGAAAGGACAAGAGAGAACAAGGAGATGTAACGGCTAAACTGACGAAATTAGAAAAAAACAATATTTGCACTGGGGCCAATCACAACCTTGTTACGCCACTGAGAGGGCCTCATCATATAACTTTGCGTGGGGCCTCAAGTTGGCCAGGTACGGCCCTGTACATGTTGGTCATTTAGCAAGGTGTAATGTGAATCAGCTCAATTTAGCTAGCTAAAGAGTAGCATGAAGGACTAAGCTAGAGAGTTTTTTTTTCAAAAAGTGGCTGTGGGACAAAGTGAGCCAGAGGTTCAACTTAACTTAATGAGGCACTGAAGTTAGGTTAAGCCTTTACACTACATGTAAATAAAATGGTCTTTCAATGTTGTTACACAACTGATTAGTTTTGATGTTTTAAACATTGTAGAAAAACCATGATGCCAAGAAAATAGGTACGGAGGAACAGCAGAGGGTCTTCACACAGGAGAGAGAAGGGGCTTCAGACCAGATCAATGGCCTTACTCCAAATAAATGCTGTGAACTGGCCTTTGAATTACAGACAGGAACAACATTCCTGTACCAAACAACTCAGGTCTAAACTTGAAAAAATCAATTGGTTAATTCACCCCCAGATGGCTAAATGTACCCCTTAACTTGGATAAATGTACCCCTTAGATGGGGCAAGTTGAGCCACAAGACAATTGTCTCTAGAAGTCATATTTTCATGGCCCTTTGTTATAGATGAATTATTTTCATTTTGATTGACAGAAAACATCCTGAAGTAAAGGTTGTTGTTGTCATTTGAAGACAACATAAGTAAACATTTGCTCATCTTACCCCACTCTCCTACTATTAATATATTCATCACAGAGAGAAGCATTAGATTCTCTGAAAAATAAATGATTCGATGGATTGAATCCTCAGACTTTTCTGTGCATCTGGAGCAGAGAAGAATCATCCTGCTGCACAATGACAACGTGTTACCTGTTCCCAAATGACACATCCTGCCCTGTCAAATCAGATAGGGAAGTTGGTATTTGTCTCCATGTTACTTTAGGTTCTTTAACCGGTTCATACACATGAATGCTTTTGTATGTAACATGACTGTGTGTGAAGTGAAATACATGCACAGTCATGGGTTCACGTTCTCACTGCAGGGGAGTCTTAGCAATTCACTTGTTATCTTAATCGCAAAAAAAAGAGAAACAAAGTCACACTGACAAACATGTTCAGCTCTAATTTGGGCCACTTTGTTTTTATTATACTGAATTGTTTGTATTCATCGTTAACACTGTTTGTTAGCATCTGCTTTTTCAGTTAATTCAATCCTGCAGTTTGAACGGCTGTTTTCTACAAATATAATGCACAAATGACGCCTTCAGACCTGCAAACCTCAAGCTGACATGTATTTGTGTTCTCCCAGAGCTTTGCTTGTGGAAACTGTGCGGGTTGAAGACGTTGTGTTGAAACGGCAAGAGAGCGTCTTGTTGTTGGTTTGAACTGCACAGCCTCCCACTGTTCCTGCTGCTGACAGATCTGAACCATACAATGTTATAATGTTAATACAGCATCATACGGAGGCCATTCTGGACCAACATGTATATGACACCACTGTTGTGCAACAACAATGTGCAATATGTTCTGCAAACATTATTATTACAACTGGCTGCTATTTTTTAGGTTATCCAATCCAACAAGAATCGGTTTGTTATTATGTATAATATAATTGTATTATTATAATTGTATTTGTATTTACCAATCAACTCGCTACCACACAGTATTCTACAACTTTACACTTATTTTATAAATACTGCTTACTTACTAATTTTCCCTGAATGTGTACTTTTGTACATTTATTTATTTATTTGTATTTTATTTTAAATAATATGTGCATGCCTTTTTATCTAATAGTGTGTTATTTTTATTTTTCATATATCTATACTGATGTTACAATGTCAATTTCCCCTCTTTGGGACGACTAAAGGAATTCTGATTTGACGCGCATGATGCAGACATAACTGCACTGAAAAAACTTTAATTAAATGTAACACATTTCACACAACTGTATTAGGTTTAATAATATCAAGTTTAAATAAAGAAATATATATGAGATTCAACTTAAAGGTGGGGTATGTAAGTTTGAGATACACTGGCTCGAGATACACTTTTTGTTATATTCCATGGAATGCTCTTAACATCCCGATAGCAATGAATATCTGAAGTGCTTTGACAAAAAATCCATTAAAAAATATCATCTGTGGAAGCCGTAGTACTGTAAAAAGTACGACCAATCATTTTAGCCGGCCCGGCTAAAATAACTGGATGGCCTACCTGCCTGTCAGCCTTCCCATCTGTGCACAAACTTATCTCGTGCCCTCATTGGTCATGTGCGCGTTCGTGTGTGTTGGAGGAGGGGCTCTGTAAGGAAGTGGCAGATTTTTTCCGGTTGTGTATTTTCAAATTCTAGCGCACGCGAGCCGGTTTCTCAAAAATTACCTACCCACCTTTAATATTATTGCTTTCAATTAACATAATACTTGAAAATACTTTTTATTCAAGTCAGTGTTTCAGAGTGTGCTGCTGGTGTAGTGGTATCATGCAAGGTTCCCATTCTTGAAACCCTGGTTCGATTCCCGGGCAGTGCAGGGTTTTTGGGGCAACAGTACCTCGGTCTGTGAGACTTGGGAACCAAAGGGTCGTCGGTTCGAGTCCTGATTGGAACATGAGCGGAGCGTGAATTAGCTGGAGAGCGTCAGAATTTCCAGGCCGATGTGTGGGATGTAATGTTTATAACAGAGTGAACATTGAATTTGCCCCGGGTTAATAAAGTGTGTCTGTATCTCAGTCGGACGTGCCTGCAGGAGGTGTGAGGAACTTGCTGATGCAGCTACAATGGCCATTTTATTTTCATTTATAGCGGCTCTCATCAATTCCCACTCATTCAATCCTGAACCTGAGGGCATCTGGGAGGAGAAGATCATCTCACCGTGACTCAGAGAGAAGTCTCACCTCCGAGCCACGGCTCTGCAGCATCAGATCCACATAAACAAATATACAATAATACTCATCTGTTGTGATAATCAAGCTGTCTTTATTCAACTCTTAGACTCTTAATTAGATTCTTTTTTTAATGTATTCTTCCTCTAGATGTTTTTTTGCAGTTCAACTAGTTCAGAAGATAAAGGTTTATTTATTTATTGTCCAGCTACCATGAGATGCGTTTCCTTTAATGTTTTTTTTCATTCAAAGTCCATTATCCAAGTCTGGAAAGCCATACATGTCATACTTTGCATGGGGCACCAAAAAAAGGAATGGATTTCCATTAAGTAATATGTTTTTGCCATTTATTTTTTGGAAATGTTTCAAATATATAATAGGTATGTATTGTCCCGATCAGTCTTGATATTGTAACGTTCGACAAAGGGAGTCGGAAACAGGCTTCATGTTATTGGGGTTTAATAACTCCTTTGTTCGCATACGGTCACAGGTTACAGGTTACAGGTTACAACCGTTACAGGGTGCAGGTTCATCCTCACTCTCAACTCCACTCCCTAACTCCCACACACAAGCAGGCTCCACGTCACAACTTCCCAGCCCTCCCCCCTCTGCTCCCCCAACCACAGGCCCGCACACCGACCAGCATCACTGTGCAGCTCTGTGATTGGCAGAGAGATGGGGGATGCTTGAGTGACACACTCAGCACCCTATACAGGGTCGCTACAATATTCTTTCACCTTTTCATTGTAATTCTGCAGCATGTATAGAACTGTACCTTGTTTTATTACCCAGTTACCTTTAACCCTGCAGAAGTCTGGACTCAACCACAACTGTCTCTGGACTCTGAGCAAATTATACTTTTCATATGTATTATCTGTATTATCTGTGTTATCTGTGAGACATCGCCACAACGCAACGAGTCAAAATTCTCCGCTATGTCCACTGCATACAGCGCTCTGCATGTCCGACTGTTCCACTGTCTGTGTCACTGTGTGTGTCATTTATGAGAGAAAGTCTCTAATGTCCGAGTGCAAGTGAATGCAGCACAAGACGCACGTCCCTGGCGCGAGCGTGGAAATATGATTGGCGGCGATTTCATTTGAACGGGACGGCGCAAAACGAGAAGCATTCGGACCCAAGTACTGAAGGAATGAGGTATTTGCGGTCTACAATGACAGAGAAGAGACTGTTAAGTTTGGCTGTACTCAGCATTGAATCAAAACGCACTAAACTTTGGATCTTACTAATTTTGTGAGGCGTTTTGCTGAACAAGATGGTAATCGCCGCATTCAGCTGTAACGGCCCGTCCACACAGCAGCGTTAACAAATCTTGGAACGCTTCTGCCCATTCACTTTGAATGGGGTGACGTCACTTTGCCTCACTTTTCGCCGAACTGCATTGTGGGCAGCAGAGCGGAGATTTTCAGGATTTTCAGGATTCAAAGTTGAGCAATGTTCAACTTTTGAAGCTGAGGTGGAAGCGTCAGTCAATCAAATCCCGTTTATGCAAATCTGACAGTTCAAGCACTAGCCAATCAAACGGCGTGTATGCTGGGAGAGACATACCGCAGGTCATTTCCTCATATTCCAAAAAATTGAGGAGAAATTAGCGGTAGGGAATCACCCGGTGCTTTATGACCAGTCCCTATTTACCTACCGGGATACAAACCGGAGGAGCCAGGCATGGAGGGAGGTGGCAGAGACAGTGGTAGGTTTTCGCCTGTTTGGGGAGTTTATATCCAGTTTACTTCGGGCTTTTTTGCTTCGTATGTCGGGGGCGGGAGATTCATGTGATTGGTTGTTGGTGCCTTGCTCGCAAAAAATCCCCAAGCTTCAGATACGCCCACCTCCAAGATTTTTTTAACGCTGCTGTGTGGACGGGCCGTAATAGACATGTCAACTTGATGCTCTGCTCACGGATGAGCATACAACACTGTTAAGATGATGACCTTACGTGTGTATAACATTTTTCTTCTTTGTGGGGGTCTGCCCCCAAAAAACAGTTTTAAGTCCTGAGAAAGTCAAATAAGACGGTGTGTAAAACTACACTGCCCAGCCAAAAGAAAGTAACCACTTTGATTTAACTAGGCCAGTAGGTAAGGACATTCCACTGGATAATAACTGAAGTATAAAAGAATGCATGACTGAAGTGATGAGACCATGTTTGAAGGCAAACAAAAAGAGGAAATAACAGGTCAAATCAAGCAAATCCCCCTCTCAGATTCCACAGCAACCAGAAGAACATAAATACTGGCTGGTGATTTGATTAATCAGCTTTGTGATGGAATAGAAAATGCACAGTGCATTTCCTTAGCTGTGGATGAGTCCACTGACACCACTGACAATGCTCAGTTGCTGGTGTTTGTGAGTTTTTATGATGAGGCAAAGGGGGAGTTTGTTGAAGATGTGTTGGGCCTGACGAACCTCAGTGGACACACAAGGGGGCAAGACATTTATAAAGCAATAATGGGAATGCTGAATGAAAGAGGGTGCAGCTGCCTTTATTCATAACTGTGCAGCTCACACTGCGACTCTGAGGGATCAAGCACAGACACAATAACAATGAAAACTGCTGCATACAGATTATTTTTGTTTTTGCAACCTCGTGTTAAGAATCTTGTTGCAATTGTTTAAAAGTTTGAATGACCGTAATAAACGGACCTTTGTCTTATTGAAATATTTTTTTGGACCTTTAAGATTTGTATTTGAGTACCCCTGATCTATGTGTTTGCATAAGTTATTTTAGCAATTGACTTTTACACTAGTGACAGTCAAATAATAAACTGACACTTCGACTCACTACAGACCTAAAACCTCCAATAAGAGAGGGGAGTGAAGCTTTAAAGATTCAAAGGTTTTGTTTGGGTCATATGCTCAATAGCTACAGCGTATTTGTTGACGATGAACGAACAGTGCACCATACAATAAAACGTAAAAAACAAGAGACATCAAATATACTGAAAATGGTTCAAGTGCACAAATAAGAAAAAGATGCACTTGTAAAAATAGAATACGATGAAACAAAATATACAATTAAACACTGAAGAGTGGAAAACATACAGTTTACTGTAATAATATATAAGTATTGGGATATGAGGACTATAAAGAGATGTACTTCTGAACAGTATGTGATGAACACACAGAATGGGAGTGGTGACGCTTCAGAGCTCAGCAGTTCAACAGTCTAATAGCTTATAGTCTCACAGCTGTATCTCTACTCATGTCCGTTCCTCTGATCCAGCTTCTTAAGACACTTGAAAAGAATCATGAAACATTGTCAGATAGCACATGTCACTTAAGGTTTGAAACGGCTCCCCATGTCATTTTAAAGACTGTTCATATTGTTTTTAAATCTGTCCCTCAGTGTGTGTTTGGTGCCCCCTGCCCTCAGTGTGTGGAGTGGAGATGTAATCGCTGAGTCATACCCCCCCCCCCCCCCCCCCGGTTTGACCTTTCTCCCCTATCAAATCACAGGAGGTTAATCTTCTCTTCACAAGTCCATTCAAATGAATAATTTACTTTAGAAAAGGACATTTCTAGAAGCGTTTGCTACTAGTTTTTGCATCAGAGAAGCAGCAGCTGCTCACTTCCCCCCCCCCCCCCCAGCCTCATTAGTGCCCCTCTAAATATACCCGTGGTGAAATTATGAATGAGGAATGACGGAGTTCAGCGCTGTTCCAAATAACAAATTAATTATTGATCCCAATTAGCATACTTACACTGTTACTGTATCTAAAATGCAGTGTGTAATTACATAATGCATGAAGTGTGGTAAACAAAGAATTGGAAGTGAGAGTGGGGGGGCTCTGGGCTCCTAACATCTCGGACTCTTTGAACACCAACAGGGACTGCTGCAGATTAATGGGATCCTAACTGGCACACGACACAATTTATAGACCAACATGCAAGATTTTATGACCCAAATTCTGTCCATTATTAAAAACTGCAACATCTCTCTCTGCCACTGCTAGCCTATTTATGTCACCCAGTTTCCATGGCTACCATGCTATGGATAAAATCTAAAGCACTCACAGGTTTCCAAGTGCAACAACTTTCCCTCGCTATGGGAAGGGGGATGACATTACAGCCCAACAATCACTAATGCACTTGAATGAAGATGTATTGAAATATTAGAAAGGGAGTTAAACAGAACACCATCTACATAAACCCAGAGAATCTAAAACTGTTAAAAATTACACTGAACAAAGAGAAACGTTGACTGTATAAGGTTATCTGAAAGCAATAATATCAAGTTCAAATCAAAGAATATTGGGTTCAACTTAATATTATTGCTTTCAACTAACCTACTCCAGTTATGTTCAATCTATTGACATAATACATTTGATTAAAGTCAAAGATTCCGTTTTTTTCAGTGTTATCTTTAACAGTTTTTGATTCTCTGGGTGATTTTTAGTCATACAATTATAGATTGAACCTTGACTACTAGTACCAAATCCAGCTCTGCACAGGAGTTACAAGACGACATTGTGGTTTCATCAGTGCTTGTGGAAATGAAAGCTGACACAGTAAAATGGACATGTTCCTTCCTTCCTCACACACAAACACAAACACACCGTCGCCCTTCCCTCGCAGCCCGCGGCAGGCCACACACTGCAGGTCCTCCTGAGAACAAAAGGGCTCAGGACAAAGCTGGCAACAATCCGCTGTCTTCCTTATTTCCACAGTTCAGGGAGGGCAGGCCGCACCACACACAATACCTGCTGCAGAGGGAAGATGACATCATTCCTCCACCATCAAGTGACTCATTGTTCCCCATTTAGCTATCGACTTCAAACACACAGGAAGAAACAGAAGCCTTTGTCAGCAGAAAGCTAAGATCATTGTAAACCTGAGATGTAAACCAGAAGGAGCCGGAGCTCTTTTTACAGCCAAAAGTCGAACAGGTCGTCCTCCTGGAGGCCAGACGGCTGATGTAACTGATCTGTTTCTGCATTAGAGACATCAGCAGTGTTCACACATCAGTAAAGTAGGTCGTGCTGGTCGGCAGGACATCATAAGGATTCACTTTGATCCCAGCCATTGATATACTGAGGATGTATGCTTCTTTGTCTGAGAGAGAAACTGCTCCTCTGCTGGAGGCTCAGCGCCACCTGCTGGCTGAGGGGGGCACTGCTGTCTGGGGGAGCAGCACACAGCAGTGTTTGCAAACATACATCAAATACATTACTAAGATGAATAAAATAACACTCATTTGATGCCTTGATTGAACAAGAAATTACATTTTTTCTTTTTAGGGAAATGTAATATTTTATTAAAACCTATTTCTGCAATGAATCAGCATTTGAACCCATCTGTAGCTTTAATTAAGGAGTACTTTCTCAACAAAATGAGCATTTATCCATCATCTACTCACCTCATGTCCACTTCATTTGTTTTTTGTAAGGCTTCACGTGAATAACACATCTGCTCCTTTGCAATTGGACAATTGGTTAAAAAGAGACTACATTTCCCTGTGTGACTATTTCAACTTCAAATCATCCTTTTCCATATCAACACATTTACTTTTTTAGGAATTCTGCACAAACAGTACCAGCAGACAAGTAGTGCAAGACCTTTCTGCATTTTTGGATTCTCAGTTCATCATAGACACATGCAAGGAAAATAAAACATCTTCACAAGTTCACATGCGGCGGGTAATTGATATATGATCATTTTGTGAGGACGTTTTTCTTCAAGCACCTGAAAACCTTTCTCTGATCATCACACGCAGTTCTTACTAGGCTCTCCATAAATGACCTGGCCTTACAGAAAATGGAGACGCTGATAAGTGAAGCAGAAAGACACAAGGAAAAGTGAGTCTTTTCACCATTCAGTTTATTTCATAATGCCTTCATCACTGCCATATACTGTGGTGTGTGCTAAATCCATGATCAGAAAACTGAAGAAGAGACCCGATGAAGATTACTCCTGCACAGATACACATTTAAAAGTAAGACTCGTCAAGTCTTGCCATTTTAAAATGAGTTTAAATGAGAAATAAAATGTGTACATGACCAGACAAAGCTAAATTGATTGTGCAAAAGTATTCGTGGGATATGAGACCAAGAAAAGAAAACGCATTCTTTTAGTAAATCATAGACGCTTCTCACTCCCAAGAAGTTCATTCAAAGTCCATTACATTAAAAAATACCCTCTTCTTTTATCCCCACGACATGTCAAATAAAACAAGCACTTAAAATGCAGGCAACTTCTAAGGCAACATGTGAACTAAAAACAAACTAGATACTGTACGGAGGTATACGCTCCTCTATTTGTCCGCAAGGGCATTCCCCACCAGATAAAATATTTCCTAGCGCAAAAATGACACAAGAGCTATCATACAAAGTGAACTACTGGATAGAAAAGACGAAAACATCTACACGCACAAACAATACAGAAGTGGAAAGGGGAAGGTTAGCTCGGAGCCAGAAGTAGTTTGAACAGCATGAGGAGCTTTTCAGGTCTACACAAACCCCAGCTTTCCTTTATCAGAGACAGGAAGTACATGCCTCTCTGACCTCAAAACCTGAGGGGCACACGCCAGGTGGCTCATGCTCACAATTAGAAAAAAGTTGGAGATAAATGTGTTGATTTAAGGGGTGGGGGGTTTGCATATGAGGGAATCCACGCCTCCAAACATCCTCAGGGATCCTGCACATTGTTCACTGACCAGCCTTCGTCTTGGTTTTCACATCGTGGAGGACTGAGTGGCTGTCCAGAGCAAACATGTAGACACACTCATCAGAGGGAGGGGGGGGCAGTGATTGTTTGGTCTGCGCTCACCGAACACACTGTGAGGATGTGCAAATGTTCAGAGGACGTCACTTCCTGCCCCACCGGAGCGAGGGTCTTCAACATGCAGGACACAGTGCAAGTCTCCGACAGAACAGTGTGTGTGTGTGTGTGTGTGTGGTGTGTGTGTGTGTGTGTGTGTGTGTGTGTGTGTGTGTGTGTGAGAGAGGGTGGGTAGTGTTCTGTTGCTGGGGTGAGGAGGGGGAGGGCAGAGGAGGGGGGGTAGCAGTTCATTTGTCTCCGCCTCATCAGGACGTGCCCTGTCTCTTCTGTTGCTGCACCCGGATCAGATCCAGCTGTTTCTTGCACTTCTGGTAGTAGGTGGACAGGCTCTTGTTCTCCTCCAGCAGCTTCTTGTGCTCCTGCACCAGACGGGACGTGTTCTGCTGGTCCTTCTCGTCCTGGTCCAGTTCAGCAATGAGCTCCTTCCTGCGCAGGGGACAGATGTAGAAACATGACCTCTCCTGCGTACACCTGACTTACAGACGCTGCTGTTGTCACTACATCAGGATATCAATTATTTATCTTCTCAATTTGAAACAATACCCACATTCCGGCAATAGACAGACTTTCTTCCACTTTCATATTACATTTTTCCTATTTTATTTGACCGCACTCAGTTTCTTACATATTTTGTGTACATATTGTCTTTATTTTTTATTTGTTACAATAGTCTTTCAAATTGTTTTTATAATAGCATAAGTTTCTCCTCTTTTGATTTGAAAAGGTATTCTTCTTCTGTGTCTTTGTGTGCACCATTTACACCAAGCTAATTCATCGTTTGTGTAAACCTACTTGTAATAAAAACCATTCTGAATCTTCAAATGCTCCGTGGCATTTATCCACTTCTACGTTTTAAAAGATACAAAAAGAAAACATTGAGGATTTGATTCAACCCTCTTTAATCCTCACTCATGTACACATGTGTCATCCAGTCATTGCAGGGGTTTTTACAGCTAGAATATATATGTTTGAAAAGTATCAGTCTAACTGTTACAATTCAATAACTAATCGATAAACCACTCAATAGTACAAGTACATCTATACAAAACAGCAGGTATTTTATGGAAATATGAATTTAAACTTGTTTTCCTTGGTCAAAATAACAAAAAAGATGCAGTGGTTTTACACCACAAACAATGCAGTTTTTTGGCAAATAACTATATAAAATAAATTAAATTTATTTTGAATAAATGTTAGTGGTTTAAAGAATAAAACAAAAAAGTTAATTTTATTTAAAAACATACAGCTATTAAATGTAAAACCAGAGAAACAAATCATTTTTAGATTTCCTGGAGCCTGTGAATAGTTTGCTTTGATCTGTACACTTCTCTGGGTAGGGGGCCGGTTATTGTGCTGACTGTGCTGGCAGCCTGTGTGTGAAATATTCCCCCGGTGCAGTGTGCTTAGAGGTCAACACTGAACACTGCGTGGATCAGAAGGAGTTTAGATACTACGAGCTGCTGGACCTACTTCCTCTGGATGAGCAGGGCGATCTCAGTCTGCACCTTCAGGTATTCCTGCGCCATCTTGCAGTGCTGCTCAAACACAGCCATGGACTCTGTGGAGTTGGGACAGGGAGCAAGAGGCTGCACACACACACACACACACACACACACACACACACACACACACACACACACACACACACACACACACACACACACACACACACACACACACACACACACACACACACACCACACACACACACACCACACACACACACACACACACACACACACACACACACACACACACACACACACACACACACACAATTTATATCAGCTATGTATAGTCTGGGCAGATAATAACACATCAGATAGCTCAGTGATGCTGCCAATGTGTATTAATATTCACACTCTATTTCCAGGGTAATCCCTTCATAATGAAGTCATTTACAATGTCCTTCAATTCATCGCCGGGAGTGAGGAGGGAACGCCACAGTGAAAGCTGATGCAATGCTGACAATATTTCAGTTATTAAATATCAAATGAGTTTCAGGTGGTGCTGGAGGCTGGAGGGGGGGGGTGTACCTGCAGCTGGTGATCCAGGGTCAGATAGGCCATGGGAATGGAGTTGTCTGAGCCGTTTGTGTCTGAGGACAGAGAATCAGAGGGGGGGTATCTTCAAGACACGAGTGCTGGCAGTCCACACATTTCTCCTCAGGAATAATCTCCTGGGTGACTAACAGGAGTGGCCCCTTTCAATCAGTCAACTTAGGAATTCAACATTTTCATAAAAAACTGTTAACAAAATACCATCATGGCCCCTGGTAGACCCGCACGAATAAAGGTATTCTGATTCAAAAAGCTTTCTGGGGGGGGGTCTTTCACACCCAATCCGTTAGAGTGGAAAATAAAAGGTGCTTGTGTACTACTCCACGCACAGGTTTCAGCTGTTTCCATGATAAAGTGACTCCTATGGTTTTTAGTGTAGCATATATTTTGTTCCATAAAGAACTTTTTGCCAAGGCACTGGGGACTGCTTGTTTTGTTACTTACATAACTATAAAATACTATATTGTTGGATCAAGTCGGACATTTTCCTTTCATCATATAGCTCTATTTGGAACTTCAACATGGACAAATATTTAGGACAAGAAACAAGGGAACAGACATCCATCCTTATATTACAATCACTAAACATTTGATCTGGGATTTAACGGTATTTCATTTAAGTATTGCTTTTATAATCTATACGGGCTTTTAACTATTTGTTTCAAATAATTGTTTTACAATGAGAACCAAGCAGTGGATTGCCTGAAAGAGCCACAGTACGAACACTCAAGCATTAGACATCAAGTCAGATATCTTCATCCTTTTATGTGTACAATGATTACAAAGTAGGCTGTGAGTAGAGTTTTGTCTTGTTAGTTAACTTATGAGGAGAAAGCGGAAAACACTTACTCTAAACACATTTAAGCTTTGGGAAAAACATGGTGAAATTGTGATGTTTAATCATTGACTCGACTGATCACCTGTAGGGTCATCGGGGGAGAAGTACCCTCTGCTGCTGGTCTTATCGGGGGGCATCATCCTCACACTGGGACTGGAGGAGCGGCTGCTGTTCCTGCTCCCCTGCAGGAGAACACACAAACATTCAAACATGAAGCAAAGCAGTCTTCTTGTCACGCACACTTGGAGGCCAAACAAAGCTTACAGAAGAAAATGAACCGTGTTTGTGACTGTTAGCTGAGGAGGTGAATGTCTCTATGACAGACTTCATGCCATCAAAGTGATGTTGTTGGAGACTGACAGCTCACAATGTCACAGTAGGAAACAGGACTGACGTTTAAAGGTTGGTCCTGAACATTTCAATGATTTTTGTAACAGCTGAAGTTCCTCTTTTGAAATCAAACACCAGCTGACCGTAACATATCTGCCGCTAATTGCACATCTCTCCAAAAGAAACACTGCCAGAGCTTTTTGTTAATGTTTTTATCTCAAGGATATCTTGACACTGGATCAGCAATTTTGTAAGACAGACTATCTTCTCCCTTCTTCTCTTTTTCCATTTGGGCTTCTGTATATTTGTTTGACAATGTTTTTCACCAACTGCAAGATATCTGCTCTCAGACTTTGCTTGAATGAGCTTCACTGCTCAGTCTGAGAGCCGCAAAGAGAGGAGAGCGCCCCTCGGCCGTTGATACAAGTACCACATGAAATGGCAGCAACATCAGCCAATCTGCTCAAACCAATCGGCTTCTGGATGTTTGTTATGACAGTGTTGGTCTGAGAGGGCCGCACAAAAAGGGCTCAGGAAAAAGGAGGCTGGGTGCAGGCGGGGGCATGACATGGCATGGGGTCACAATTGAAGAAAGATGCTGGCTCTCAGAAGCAGGCATGTCAAGCTCAGAGCCTGCAGGTGGCAAACCACATCGGCAACACTCAATTGTGGAATGTACACCATGTTGGATATAGTCCACACACAACACAAAATAAGTCAATTTTCCAAATACAATGCATCCAAAAAAAAGATGATTGAAGAAACATGTCTGGTATAATAAAGACAAACCAAACTATGAACATTCTAAAGTCTAAAATGCAACAGGATTTTAGACTTTTTGTATACAGAGAAACTACAAAAGCATTATTCAGTCTGAGGTGAATCTGTCACACAGTGATTCAGAGTAACTCTCCATATGGGAAGAAAACATGATAACAAAGCAAATTCACACCAACACAACTCCATGATCAATGGTGCTGTCAGAGCAATGGGAACCCCACAGGCAGAACAGCACTATCCATCTTCTTTAGAAACAGGATCTCTGTACAAAGTCGTTATGGTGAACTCTTAATGAACCTTTGAATGCACAGGGGTGTGAGTTTCCTCCTAAACAAAATGGAGACTAATGTTTGGGAAAGCAGGAGGACTCCTCGGAAGCAGGGATCGTATTCGAGGCTGTGTGTTTGAGGAGAGCGCACTGATGTCTTCATCTTCTTGGAGCTGACATATCAAACAAATGTCTTACTGTGGAACTCTTTCTCCCACAGGACTTCTCCATCTTGACAAAGAATGCATCACATATTTGAAAAGATGGCATCAGTCAAGAACCCACAAGACAGGAGGAGAGTTATGATACAATAAACTCCTTTGACTGGGTGCTCGCAGAGTTCAGCTATTTATGTATAATTACACAAAGAACATTGGTATTAGTTATGATCAAATTTGATTCAAGTCCAACTGAAATCACCACCAATCCTTTTTAGAATTTAAAATAAAAGGTAAGTGTTATTTAAAATGATTGGAAAAAGCTCTCTATGCCTCATGGTGACCTTTGATTGACAGATGAGATGAGAGACAGCAACTCATTTCTGCTGTTAACTGTACAGTAGTCTACAAGCAATGACAGATCACGCTGTTTCTGCACATTGAGCATCTAAACCGACCCATGTTGATATGTTGTCTGTCTTTGAACTGCTCAATGAGCTAAAGCTAACTAGCCAATAAGATATCTAGTTTTGCAAAATGACGTTAGCAGTGCACTCTTCCCATGCTGGATGTTTGTTTGTTACCCTCACAAAGTGCAGCAAGACATTGTCCTTCTAGAACAGCAGTGCAATAGATACCTACTCTGTTGTTTTTTTATTACGTTAAGCGAGGGATTTAACACATTGATCAAATAACGCAACACTAGACAGATGTATTGTAATTCACTCTTGTGGTTAGCTATCTTTCCCACGGTGACAGTTTTCATTATTTTACTTCATTTGTGATAGAACGAAGGAGGACTCCACCCCTACAACTACTGTCAAACATTCAATGTGTTTTCATTCATTGTAAAGGAAGCAATTGGATTTATGAAAAGCTTTTTTCCATATGTTTTTTTAAAGTATTAAAACAAATGATATTTGTTTTACAAAAAAGTAAAGAACGCACATTAAGACGGTGGTGCCGTGCAGCTACGCAGACGTCTTGCAATTTAAGGCAATAGTTTCAACCACTGGACAATTTATCTTCAAGGAAACGATAGAGAGATCCAGTCAGACATGTTTCATATAGATGACTCTTCTGTTGTGCAAAGCAAAACAACAAATAGCAGAGTTCTAAGTGTAGTCAGCATCTTTCAGCGTTCACTTCCCACTCACTGACACACAGGTGCATTGTGCAACATACAATTATCTACCATGTTTGACTTTCACTATACTAATGCTAACTTTCCTGTCTTTATGTCTGTAACCAGTGGTGTAAAGTAACTAAGTACATTTACTCAAGTACTGTATTTAACCTGTTTAACCTGAGCCTGTTTTTCAGGTCTCAGGCTCGAAAATGACATTCCCAGAACAAATGACCATATCTTCCCTTCTAAAAGGGTTAAATTAATAATCTTTTTTCTCAAAGTAATGATAAACCTGTGAGTTGGATGTAGAAAAGTCAGAATCAATATAGATGTTTTTTATTTTAATGAAAATTCAGATTGAACATAGTAAAAAACTGTAAATGATAGTGTCCGTCCAAAAATTCTTTTTTACTTATAGTGAAAACTACCCTTGGATGATGGTAAGGTAGACTAAAAGCTTTAGGAATCCAAAGTACAACATATAAGTACCCTGTATCAAGATTGATGCAAAACAAGTGAGATTTGACCTTTTTAGAGAGATTTAGCAAAAAAAACTCCACCTCTGAGGTGATTTGGGTGGAAATGGGGGTTTTACCGTTTCTCTGGAACCCATTGGTCGATTTTGGTGATTGACATCTCTTTCTGACCGTTAGAGCCAATAGAATCAAAGGGGAATCTCCCCACTCACTAACATTGTACAACAAAAAGGTGGAGGCTTCGCGCATTCAGAATTGCATCAGAGCGAGCCTACACTCTAGCTCTGACATCTAGAAACGGAAAAGCAGTCTCAATGCTCATGGATTATCAGAAATAATTTCAAAGGGACACAGACACATTGGATTAACCTATGGATTAACTTCAGCAGCGTTTTTATCGTTTTAATGCCATTGAAGACCACGTTTGACAAGACTACGACACAAGGTAAACCATGTTAGCATTTTTAGCTACCTAGCGCCACATGTTTTGATGTCTGTTTTTGTTTATAAAGTCGCGAGTTCGTATAATTGAGTGATAATGAGGGTACCCTTCGATTCTGTGTCACCTCACGATGTGAAACGATGTCATGGATGTGCAGAAAAGATAAATAATAAGGTTTTGTGAGTGATTTTCGGTGCAGTAATCTGTTAGCATTTTTCGCTCGTTGCTAATTCAGAGGCTCAGTGTTAGCATTGTGGGTTTTATTTAGAAAAATAAATCAAAATGATCAGTTAGATGAGTTTCTTCCCGTTACATGGATATAAAACATTCATAGTTTATTAAATGAACATGCCCTCAGACACTGTTTCCTGCAAGATGTTGCGGCAGTGCCCCGGTACCGGGGTCTCTCGGGCTTAACAGGTTAAGTACAATTTTTGCACATCATATATATTATTCTGAAATAATAACCCTTGGACCGATCTGCACAATGACTACTTTTACTTTTGGAACTTTATGTATATTTTGATGCTAATACTTTTGTACTTTTTCTTGAGGAATATTTTGAATTCAGGACTTTTACTTTTAACAGAGTATTAATACACTCTGGTACTTTTACTTAATAAGTACAAGATCTGAGTACTTTTTCCACCTCTGTCCGTAACTGAATGGAAATTGACTTTCAAACTAATTGAAATCTAGCCTGGCTGGGTACGTACACGTTAGATTTTCGAGAAGTGCCCCCTTTTCAGTAGAACAATGTCAAAACGCCTCTCTAGAGAGAAACTCTGCACTACATAAGTAAAGTATAGTCAAGGACATAAACATCAATACACACAGACCGAGTGACCCTCGCTGTCTTAGCGCACCCCTCCGCAGCGGGCCTGGTCTTACCTGGCTGGACTCTGAGCAGATGCCGGGCAGGTCCTGCACTGAGCGCCGTCTCTGAGGCTCGCATGTGGCTGTGGACAGGATGAACAGAGGACAGAGGGTGAGAGCAGTGGAGATGGCAGATAGTGATGGTGGGAGATTGGTGCCCATGTTTGCTCAACAGATATCCAGGCTCACCGAGCGTCACAGGGACAGCTGCACTGATTTAACCCTGTAGGTCCTGGTCTGTCAACATGTGCTGTGGCATGGCTACAACATGACCACAGCGCTAAAAGCATCCCGCCACACTGACAGTGAACTGCAAACATACACACATCACCATACCACACATGTTAAACTCCAAATCTGGCTTCTTGATTCATTTGGTCTGAAGTTTTGGCCTGACTAGATGTAGCAGAACTTGCATCAAAGAGAATATGTCATGACATCACATGAAATGTATCATTATTCATTATTTCTTTATGTCTGGTCGCTAGAAATATAAGTCTATGTTACTTAATATCATTATATTTAAGTCGGGTAAATATATATAATATTTGATTGAAGTCTTTTTTTTGTGCAATTGTTTGTTTTTTATGTGCATGACACACAACCATTGAGTTTTGTGAGTTGGGTGTATGTAAACCAATTTGTAAAAACGTTATCTGGAAGCAATTATCTATCTGTTTTTAAAGTACTTTAACAGTCTTTAAATGTTTTCATTCCCAAATGCATGCCATGATAGTAGGACTGTTGACTAGTGTATTACTATAAATGCAACTAAATAAATAAATCATAAATCTAAGTGCTTTTGAGTTCGATGGTGCTTATATTTCTCAATCTACAGTATAATATGTTCTACTGAAGCCGAAACACAAATAAGTAAGGCATACATAGTTCCTACATTATAGCAATATTCAACATCAAGTCATGTGGATTGCACTTTTGTTCCTATTCCCCAACCTCTACACGACCTAGAATACATCAGGTGGATTCCACTAACACTAGGCTTACTATAGGCTCTGTCTAAAAGAACATATACCAACACACAAACAAACACAAAGGACTGAGCAGAACTGTCTATTGGAATTCATTTTTCATGAAACAATATTGAATTTGTATATTCTCTAATTTAGTTTTTTTATTCAGATAAATGCATTAAACATTTTTTTAGCCTGCTTTAAAAACTAAGTGAAAAATTCTAACCTCACAGCCACATGTTTCCAGTTGTTGCTCAATGGCAGGGGGGTAACGGTACATGCATTAGTCCAGCATCAGTTCCAGATGTTTCTTTCAATATGTGACTTTCTTCAGTTTGTGTATCATTAATATATTGTACCTTAGCCTGGGCCTAATGTATGAGGAACACATTTTTAAGAGAGAATTCTTCTTGGAAGCTTTGGCAGAAGGACAGGATATATGTGTCTTGTTTTCATCACTCTTGCCACGTCTCTCAGGTGTGTGGTGTCACACAGGCAGCGCTGCTTTACTGCCAGCTCTTTCTTTACTGCCAGCTCTTTCTTTACCTAATAAGCTTGCTTTTCATAATGCTGGCTATATATTCATTAATAGAACTGTGCAAGTAACCTCACTTTCACAACACTGTCCTGCAAACATTTTGACAAAAGTTTTGTGTTAAAGTTATTAATTACAAAGAAAAACCCTGGAAGGCTTTTATGTTGAAATGGAAACAGGAAGTGCAGATTAAAAATGCAATAATAAAAAGTATTTCACGGCTTTGACATATAGACATGTCACTGCAGTATTGTTGCAGTAAGATCTCAAAATACTGTGGAAAGTTCCTCTTCAATGTTTACTTTTGCTTTAAACAAGATGACAAGCGGTGAGTCTTTGAAACTGTAAAGGAGACGCAGGCAATGTGGCAGAGGTGAAATAAATAACCAATTATCTATCATCACAAAATATTTTATCTTCTGCATTGTTTTGTTTATACCTTAGAACTGTGCATTTTACATACCGTTACACCCCTGCTTTATGACCACCAATGATGTATTTGCTTGGTAAAAGACCAGGTGTACACGTGCGATGATGTTCCCTACCGTTAACAACATGCATCATTTGACTTCCTTATCAGTGGATAAAACTGGCCACAGATAATGTGTCTCACCCAGCTCCAAATAAGACGCTTTGTTTCAGGACATCCAGAGCTGTCCCCATTCCTCTCATCCGTATCTGCTTGTAATAATAGCTTTGACCCTCATGTGAAAGAAATGAATCAAAAATGACTTTGTCAAAGTTAATGGATGTAAAAAGAGCAAGAGGGGGAGAAAAATAGCCAAGCTTTCTCAAAGTCCTTTATGCATGAAAGGCAAGGACAAGCGGAAATTCAGAGAACTGGTGCACTGCAAAGCCAGAGAGGGAGGAGAAGACAGAGCCATGAGTTAGAGGGTCATCTCATCTGTGTCACCTGATCCGATGCTATACACTGATTGACAGGTGACACAGATGATGGGAAGACATCGTCACTTGAGAAAACGTTGTTCTTTTCTCACCAGATGTGAATATTAACTCATGTTCTGCTTCTGCCTTCTATAAACACAGACACAGAGACATAGAGCATGTGTGTTACTCCAGGACCAGCTCAACTATATTCAGGTTTGGGGGGGTACCGGATTACATGTAACGAGATTACGTAATCAGGAAACCAAAAAGGTAACTGTTTCTGATTACAATTACGCAAAGAAAAAAAATAATGCAGTAGGTGGACACCTGATTTATTAAAAACAAAATCAGTCTATGCTTTTGATTAATGTAGTAATTAGTTTGTAAACTATTACTTTGACTACATTTTTATATATTATCTTAAATATCTTGGTTTCTTCTTTTCTAAAAGTTACATTGTTATTTACACTTAAAAAAGCAAGTAAAAAAACATGTTATTGTTATTTAATGTCTCCTGTTTTATTTGCATTGCATTTGATATTGAGGTAATCCAAAAGTAACAGAAAGTAATCAGGTTACATTACTTCTATTTTGATACTCAGATTAGGTTAATGATAAATGTTTTTGAAGTGTAACTAATTATTGTAACTCAAGGTTCAAGGTTCTTTATTTGTCAAACGAACATAGCTACAGTGTAGTTATGTCGATGAAAATCTCGTGTCACAGGCAACTGATTACATTTTTAAACTAACCCTCCCAACCCTGATTAATGTTTGTAGAATATAAAATGTTGTGTTGGCATCGTATGGAGTGACACACAGGAGAGCTCCATGTCAGAGCACAGCAGCCCAAACCAGCAAAGCAGAGCCAGCTGCACCCGGTCACCATGGAAACCCGGGGGTCCAGTGATACCTGTGATGACGATCTTGGGGACATCCAGAATGGTGCCGTATGATGCCGTTTTACGATGGCCTCGTTTAAACTGCGGACGTGCTGCGGAAAACACACATACACACATACAGCTGCGAACACAACGAGCATGCGGACTGACACAGACTCGGGGCCACAGCTGGACCGGACATGTGGGCCCCTCTCATGCAGAGCATACATTGTACGTGCAAGGGCAGCATGCTCTCCGTCCCTTCCCGGCGCCGTGGAGTGTTACTGCTTGCACCACATTACCTTCTGAGCACAATCAGCAGCAGGCATAAAGCTCTGCTGCTGATTGGGTTCAAAGTTCCACACATCAATCTAAAGACTGCAGGTGTTGATGGTGGAAATACAGTAACGTTATTCATTTATAGCCTAGTTGTCAGCTCATAGAGTCTTATTGTGAACCCGGATATGTTGAGTACACCAAAGTCTTGTGATATAAATATATAGTGAGGGTCCCCAGCACATGGAAACTACAGGATGCTAACTTGCATATGTTGGGCAATTTGCACAATTAGCATAAGTTGTGTTCATTAGCATATGCAGACAATAGTTACAAAATGGCTTGGCTGATTTGGACCATTTTGGTGTAGTTATTGAGGAAGTTGAATCAATTTCTGAAAATGTCAGGATCAAGAATGGCAGTTATGAGTCCCCTAGAACTTCAGAACAATTTGTTTGCTATTGTCTGCATATGTGAATTAATGCTAATTAACGCAACTTATAATAATTGTGCAAATTGCCCAACATATGCAATTTAGCATCCGGCAGTTTCTATGTGCTGAGGGCACATACTACACATTTCTAACTTTGGTGTACACAATAGGAATCTATGAGCTGGCAACTAGACCATTAAGTTACAGAACAGCAGAAAAATAAAAAAGGCAACAAACAAAAAGACCTGACATGGAGTGCCATTGTAGCAGAGTGGTTACAGCGCATGCCACATAACCGCATGTCCCTGTTCTAGACTTGGGACCTTTCCTTTCTATTTTGTCCCTACACTGGCCAAAAAATTGTAAAAGAATAACATTAAAATAGACAAAAAGGAACCTGACATTTTTGTATGCTTAAATCAAATCAAACTACATGCTTAGAGCTCCTGAGGTTTAACTTCAGTGGCACTATTGAGCTTGCTGTTTCTGTCAGAACATTGCAATACATGGAGATGGTTGACAGAAGGGTCTGATGGGCCTTAGTGGAGAAGGTCAAATCTGTGTTTCTGTGAGGAATCCATTTCCACCTCTAAGTGATGAACGCACATAAGAGTCAAACTAACGGGGAAGGAGCTTCTGGTGGACTTGGAGGCCTCATTCCAATAAGACTTGCACTGACAATACTGCAGCATGCCTTTCCTGAACAATTTGCTTCTTTCAAAATCTGGTAGGAGCTTGCTAATTTGCTTTGATGCGCTCTTGTTCCTGTTGTCTTGTGCTGTGTGACGTCAGGCATTACCTGCAGGTGCAAATGGCAGCTTGGGCTCCAGCTCCGACAGGTCAGCGCTCATTCTCTTGCTGTCAGATGATGTCAGGCACTGTGTCCGTGCAGGCAGACTCTCCACACTGCCCCCCCTCGACAGAGGCAGAGACCTCAACGGGTCTGCCTAACAGAACAAGAGGAAAATCTCACTACAGAAGCTTGGTTTGACAATATTTGCTTCTCGTGCAGCTAAATTACAAATAACTGTCAAACTGAAATGAATAATAAAGTTATTATTTGTAGTATTGGTTTACCTTTGGCTTGAAGTAAGGAGCAAACTGAGGCATGATCTTGATAGTATCGTTACTCCCTTGGGAATCACTGTGCTCCATGTTTGCGTCACTTTTGTTGCTGGTGCCAGTGTTGCCCACATATGAACCTGTTGTTCCCCAGGAAACAGGACGTGTCTTTCATCAAAGATTTACAATGCATTTTCTTTGATGGTTCACAACACTGTAAACATTCGATAAACTCAGATAGTTCAAACCAACGATACAGCACTAAAGGCAAGATTCTCTTTACGTGGTTTCATATCAGTTTGAAATCCTTCTACTAAGTTATATAGACAGGTGCAAAGTTGTAAATATGAGATCAAAGCTAACCAAAGTCCTCAACATAAAATCATAGACATGGCTGTTTCAGACATGATACAATTATTGGGTGCTGGCAGGAAATAAAAAACCGATTTCAACATTTTTATAATAATGATGCTTTCCAGGAGACTAGCACCAGTAAATCTATCTAAAGATAAATCAGTGAAATATAATGCATTGTCCTTCTATATCCTTCTGTGCTGATAAATGCTGGCTTTAAGTGGTTTGAGGATGACTCTTGTACCTGTACTGGTAGCAGAGTTGCTCTGTCCGTCATCTGAATACTGATATGGATACTGCAGCGGTTCGTCATATCCAGGGAAGTACTGCCAAGAAAAAATAATTTGAAGAAAGAGTGAGCTTGGTTGGATTGAACATCTTTCTACCCAAGCTGTGCATGAAAGAGTGAAGTTAAGTCAAACATAATCCATAATAACTTCAGTTCCCAGCATAGTAGGTACATCAAGCTAAAATGACTGCCATATGATAGAGCTGTGCAGTGATGATGTATTTTGTAGACCCAACAAGACGTTAGCATCGTAAGGGTTCAGAAAATAGGAAGTTAATGATACTTAAACATTTCAGTCAGCATGATAATCTCCACATATCAACACCACTTTTATGTTTCTTGAAATGTAAATGTAATAACAGAAGTAATAAAAAGCTAACGTTAGGCTATAAACAAACTATAGCACGGTCACATGGCTGCACAACACCACCGCTAAGCTAACGGTGGCTTATGTTCAGTGTGATGGATGATGTTTAGTAGTCTCATATAGTCACTTATCAGCAAGTGGTCAAATGCAAACTCATGTGTTTACCCCTGCATCATTACATCTAACAGTCCTGCAATAAGACGTCCTTTCATGCATGTAGCTTCTAATGTTTAGTATTGTTGAAACTGAGATGGGTTGATTTGAATGTATGGTCTTTTAAGAGGAGCGGTTTGTAGTGCTTTGGAATTGCATTTTCAATGTTTCTATTGCTCTGTCCATCCTAATTATATATTCGTTTCCTTCTTTTTTGGGGATGGGGGGGTTTGTACAAAATCTTTGCAATTTTTTTAATGTATTTAGTGATATAACAATTACAGGAAAAGTGCATTCAAGTACAGTGTCATAAATACACACAAGAGAGTAACGAGTATTCAAAGGAAAGACAAATAACAAAATACACATGGAGACCAGAAACAAAACAGAGAAAGGAAATCTGTGTATAATAACAAAATAATATAGTTTGGTTATAAATAATAAATAGTCAATTATTGTAAATATAGATGTAAAACATGTAATCCTGTAAATACAAAAATATACCATAATAGTCATAATAAAGATAATGATAATAATAATAATAATAATAATAATAACAGAAACCCATGGATGGAAGTGGATGGTAGTTGGGTGTGCTCACTGGTTTGTGCATTGACTGTATGTAGAAGGTCAGGGGGGAGGGGAAATTCCTGATGATATCTTGATTGTAACCTAAATATCATAACACTTCTATTTGAAAGGCAATACATTAAAACGTTTCCCGTCATGTTACATTCTGCTCTCTGAGATGTAAGTATTTGTTCAGGGTTATTGAATCATTCACTCCAGTTTAATGAAAGCCTTGTAGAGAGGGACAGCGTGTGTGAGGACAGATTACCTTCATTAGATGAGTCATGATCTTCACTATTTCCTCCATGGAAGGCCGCTGAGAGGGGTCTTTAGACCAGCAGCGAGTCATCAGACTCTCAAGGGTCTTGGGCAAATTTTTGATTAAAGGAGGTCTTGTGCCTGAATGTTAAAAATAAAGGTAAAGGAACTGCACAGGCATGGTCACAGGAACAGATTACGTTTGGCATCACAGCAGCCAAGCAGAGAAATGTTGCAAATGTTTGCTAAATCCCCTGTTTCCTCCTGTTAAAACTATGATGACTCAGGCAGGCAGATTCAGAGGTGAAAATATTAAACTTGTCCCCAGGTATTATTAGTGTCCCATTAGTATTCTCCTTCATCCATCTCTGAACTAGAATCATTTGCAGGGTGTGCTACACAGGTGAACGTGCCTCTTGCACCATTCATGTTCAGTCTCCCAGCAGGCCTAGTGGTCTGACAAGGGTCGTTAAGATTTTAACTTGATTTTATCAGTTATTTTTTGGTTTATTCAGGGGAAAACTAAACAAGTGGAAACAACAATTGACATGGCTTTTATTTTATGTAAAATAAATAACATGTATTTTTGTAACAAATCATTATAGACTAATGTGATGATGGAAATGCAAAACAAATAAAATGGTTATCTTTAATAATTAGCCCCGGGGTCGTTTACTACTGGGGTTTGGTACCCATCCCTTTTGCCGACAGCTGGATATGACCTTTGCATCCTCCAGCTACCCCAAAAACACACACACACACACACACCCAGTTGGTCACTCACCATTGTGCACGGCCCACATAATGCGAAAAGCTGGTCCTCCAATTTCATCGAAGGGCTTCCTGCGAGTGATCACTTCCCAGAGAATGATCCCCCAGCTGAACACATCACACTTCTCGCTGTAATTGCTGCCTGCAAGTAGAGAAGAACCCACAGCAACACTTAGGTCCATTTCAAACAGGGAGAACACGCTGTTTGACATCGCTGACTGACTGATAAAGGCAATTCTCTGTGGCACAATTGAGATGAGAGCGAGGATGCGTCTAGGAGGGGATGAGGATGGAAATAGGGGAGCAATTTTACCAAGGAACAGCTCCTGTGTTGCGTAATTACTGGGCCTATTATGGCCAAATTAAAGTGCACATCACACACACCTCTCTTAAAGTAGCTGCGCTGCACACACTGATGCAAATTAGTTGTTAAGAGTTCACGGTAAGGGCATACGCGAGGTGTTTAATTGCTTGTCTTGTACCTTGCCTCCAAAAAACAAGATAATGCTAAGGGCTAAATTCATCTTTCCTCCATGCCCCCTCGCCAAGAACATGTCTCATCATGTAGAAATACGCTAGGCTCTTGGCTGAATGAGAACACAATTTGTACACGTCCTATCCCGAGGGAAATAAAGCCACCGGCATCTCGCCATTCATCTCCTCACTGTGCTTAGGAGACCACCATCAATAAAACAGTAAAGTGAGATGCAGATGATGGATCAAGAATATATTCCTCCATTCTGGGAGCACTGAGCTGACATTAAGGTGAAAAGTAGCTAAATAAAGGTGTGTGTAAGAAAAAGCACTAAGAACAGAGGTGGAAGAAGTATTCAGATGCTTTACTTAAAGGTGGGGTAGGTAAGTTTGAGAAACCGGCTCGAGATACACTTTTTGTTATATTCCATGGAATGCTCTTAACATCCCGATAGCAATGAATATCTTAAGTGCTTTGACAAAAAAATCCATAAAAAAATGTCATCTGTGGAAGCCGTGGTACTGTAAAAAGTACGACCAATCATTTTAGCCGGCCCGGCTAAAACAACTGGATGGCCTACCTGCCTGTCAGCCTTCCATCTGTGCACAAACTTATCTCGTGCCCTCATTGGTCATGTGCGCGTTCGTGTGTGTTGGAGGAGGGGCTCTGTAAGGAAGTGGCAGATTTTTTCCGGTTGTGTATTTTCAAATTCTAGCGCACTCGAGCTGGTTTCTCCAAAATGACCTACCCCACCTTTAAGTAAAAGTCCTGCATTCAAAATCTTACTTAAGTGAAAGTACAAACTATTATCAGCGAAATGTGTTTAAAATAGAAAAAGTAAAAGTACTCATTGTGCAGAAAAATGACCTTTTAGCGTGTATATAATTATATTTATAAATGTGACATCATTTCTTCATAATATTTTTGCATCAAGTAGCATTTTACTGTTGTAGACAAACAAAGCTCTGATTGACTTTTTGTAAAGAATTTAAATAATTTGACTCTTTTGTGACTTAAAGAGTTAGTCCACTAGTTACATTTTTAGAGAAGCATTTAGTTAAAAGTCCTGTTTGTTAAAGTATATGTTTAATAAATGTAGTGGAGTCAAATTACATTATTTCCCTTTTAAATGTAGTGGAGTAGAAGTATAAAGTAGCATTAAATGGAAATACTCAAGTAAAGTACAAGTACCTCAAAATGTTACTTAAATATAGTACTTGAGTAAATGTACTTAGTTCATTTTCACCTCTGACAAAGAAATATGCAAGATGGTTATTTGGCCTAAAAGGATTCAGTGAGCGTTTATAGAAAGCAACTGGATACTTATGAACACTTTTCAGTTAAAAACAAATAACGGGGCAGGTATCCAAAGAACTACTTGGACTGCCTCTTATACTTGCCTTCAAATACCTCTGGGGCCATCCATGCTGCACTTCCTTTGTTGTTGGTCATGTGGGTCTGAATGTCGCATGCTGTTCCAAAGTCACATATCTTCAACACAGTGCCGCCTGCCACCAGAAGCAGACTGAAAAAAAAACAAGAAATACACCTTATTAGACACTGAAAATGGCAAAAACTTGAAATGATTAATAATAAAAGTAACACTTTCTGAATTGTAAGAGTTAAAACAGTTTCATAACCAGCTACAGGTGCAACATACTGGTTATAATGGTGGTTTTAGTTGCTAAACCTTTTCGCTTGATACATTTTTTTGTCCTTTAGGGACCTCTTGGAGAAGGGTTTATGACACAGTTGGTAAGATAAGATAACAATGACTCTGCTGTGATTACACATCATTGATAGCTTAATGGTGCCATCCATGTACTTTAAATTGCACAATTTATCAGCTTGTTGACACAATCTCATCACAGGACATGGGAATGCAAGTGTAGGACAGGTAGTAAATCTGTGGCGATCATTAAAAGGAGCATATAAATAAAGGATTGGACGATAAACCCTTGTTGACAATTTGTCACAATGTGAGACCTTGTAATTCCTAGAAACTCTGCAGCACTTCTCTAGGAAACAGAACAGCTGGTTGTTCCCAGAGAGTCCGGCCAAGAGCCTTCTCTCCACTAGTCTCTTCTGGGATCCAACCTTTCTTCAGTACCAGCCTGACACCGAGTTTCAAACCAAGCAGCAAACTGCAGGGCAGATCAGTGAAGCCCATAGGGTGGTACCGTTCCTTAGATCGCCGTTAAAAATCAAACCCCTTGGATGAGCACAGGACTTTGAAGCCAATTTTCAGAGGTGTTAACTGCATGAAAACAAAAAAATGGCAGTTTTGGCTCAGTGAACTTTGGTAACTAAGAACAGTTTTTAGGCTAAGCTATTGGGCTCTTGTTCCCAGTACAAATATCTGAAAAGCCCTTTTCTAAATCATTACATTCTGTGAAAAGTGAAAACAGCTAATAGCCGTAGAGTTCATTTTCCTCCTCTGTTCACATGACTGAACGGAGCACGGCTAAGAAGCAGGGCCAAATGACCATGAGCCAGAAGATCTCCCTATCATCCAGGTAATTATATCAATCTGTAGTCGAGACATTTTGGCTTCATGCGCCACTAAGCAACTTTCATGGGAAAAATAATGGGGCTCATTTCCAACGCTGTGTGCAGTTCATTTTCTAAAACAAATGCCCAACTTTACTGCAGAAATAAACATGTTTTAGCCTGGTAATAACATTTGTTTTTGTGTCTATACACTGAGTTCACAATTATTAGGAAAGTGAGTATTTTGACCATATCATCAATTTTATGCATATTTTCCAACTCCAAGCTGTATAAACTTGAATGCGTATTGGATTTAAGAATATTAGGTGATGTGTTTTTGTGTAATGAGGGAGGGTGTGGCCTAAGGAGATCAACACCCTACACATGAAGGTGTGCATAATTATTAGGCGGCTCCTTTGTCTCATGCAAAATGGGCCCAAGAAATAGGTTTAACTGACACTGAAAAATCAAAAGGTCTTTCAGAGGGATGCGGCCATCCCATTCAAAGAACAATCAAAGGTTTTGTTGCAAATTACATTACATTACATTGCATTTAGCTGACGCTTTTATCCAAAGCGACTTACAATAAGTGCATTCGACCAAGAAGATAAAAACTTGAAGAAAACAGAATCATATAAGTACATCAGGTTTCATAGAGCCAAAATATTTCAAGTGCTACTCAACTAGCTTTAGATAAGCCAGTCCTTTATTAGTATACAAGTGCTTTGTTAGTAATTGTATTGCTCGAAGTGGAGTCGAAAGAGATGAGTTTTCAGTCCGCCCTGGAAGATGTGTAAGCTTTCTGCTGTCCTGATGTCAATGGGGAGCTCATTCCACCATTTTGGAGCCAGGATAGCAAACCCACGTGTTTTTGCTGATGGGAACTTGGGTCCCCCTCGTAGTGCGGGTGCAGCGAGCCGTTTGGCCGATGCAGAGCGGAGTGCACGTGCTGGGGTGTATGGTTTAACCATGTCCTGGATGTAGGAAGGGCCAGATCCATTCACAGCATGGTACGCAAGTACCAGTGTCTTCAAGTGGATTCTAGCAGTTACTGGAAGCCAGTGAAGGGAGCGGAGGAGCGGTGTGGTGTGGGAACATTTAGGAAGGTTGAAGAGCGAGTGAGACAGAGAGAGAGAGAGAGAGCTAGAGAGCACACCTTTATCTATTTAATATAGCCTAGTTGTACAAAATAAACTAAGAAGTCATTCTAATGTGTACTATAGGACAGTAAAAAAAAAAAAAAAAAGTTTAAAAGGGGAGTGATTAGTCAAATATGCATAAATGAAAAGAAAGAATGCTAACTAGGTAACATAAGATAAGAATAAACCAGTTTAAATGATTTGTTATTGGTTGTGATCATATTCTAAAGATGTTTGGATTATTGAAAAGTCTACAGCTCCCTTTCATCTGAGTGTTGAGAGCTGTATCCATCAATTCATGTTGTGCTCAAAGTGCTCCAGATTGATGCATTTCACTTCAACATTTAAAAATAATCTTCCAACAGCACACAAAGGTTAAAGGTAAGCATATAATAATGTTAAAATGTGCTACATTTATACACTGCAAAAAAATAAAAAAATAGGAGTAAAAGTAGCTCACGACTTGTTTTATTTTTTTAAAGTAGCCCTCATCCTAAAAAAGGTTGGAGACCCCTGGTATAGAACGATACATTTGACAATTGTAAGCTTGGCCTACCATTTGATTGGAGCGATGAGGAACAGGTGGGGCTTGAAAAGGCCCACCTGTTCAAAGTGGGGCATGACAGAAAAGGTTTGAGAACCACTGGGTTACAGTAACGGCATGGAATTCAAAGGTGGAAGGAGTGAAGTTAGGTAGTTGGTAGAGGGAAAAGCTCAATTTGGGAGAGAGCAAGAGACCAGTGCCACCTCCTCTGCCAGTGGGTCTGGGTGTATGGGTGAAGGAATATGCTGTGGAGAGAGCTGCTGGGGTGGCTGTGTTGGATGGAGTAATCCAGGTCTCAGTGAGAGCAAGGAAATCCAGAGACTGCAGGGAAGCGTAGCCAGAAATGAAGTCAGCCTTAGGAACAGCTGACTGGCAGTTCCACAGGCCACCTGTAACTAGATGTTGGATCTCAGTGGAGCATGTGGGATAGACGAGAGCAGGCCGGTTACAACAATTAGGAGATGCACGGAGCCAGTAATAATTGCGAAAGGACACATGAACAGGAATGGAGAATATACACATGTTTTAGCATGAGGGGCTAAAAAACACCAGCGATACTTAGCTCAATCAAAGTAGGATTTGCCTCCTCGTGACTCCCGCAGGACTCTATTGTCTTCGTCTGTCTGACGCTGAAGCTGACGCTCAAGGAAAGTGCTGCCTATGGACACCAGTCCTGATTGCTGGTTTGTCACAGCTATGGGCCCACGCCCCTTTAATTAGTTAACTCTCTGCAGCTGATGCGCACCAGTAGAAACGGTGTAGTGATGGCGAGATGAAGCCTTATGAGGCTTTGAAGCTTTCCAGCTAATTGGTTCGCAAAAGGGTTCATCTCATGAGGCTTCATCATGGGCTTCATTTGAACACAAACCCCCCTGTTGGTCAAAGTGTGTAAAACAGGCAGACATCTCAACAGTGTGCCCGATCTCATACCGAGTTCCCAATGAGTAAAGCCTTAGAATAACTCTAAACAACGAACATTAAATCATATGTTCATGTTAACAATATTGTTTTTATTCCAGTTGAATGATTGTGATTGAAAAGCCTAAGGAGGCTGGTAAACATTGCAAAGAGGGATTTGTATTCCTTAATAATATTCATAAACGTAACCATGTTGTAGCGTGAGAAAGGCTAAACCATATCAAAGACTACATTAACTACATTATCTCATTTAGCTGTAGCTTTTATAAACAACAAAAAAGACTTATTGACGAGTCATTGAACCAGGGACCCTGCGGTCGTGAGTCAATTGCTTTCCAGCTGAGCCACAGCCCGCACACTGAATCTCCCTGAAAACACTCCATCGTATTTATTCCTGTATTTATTCATGTTCCTACATTTATTTATGCTTGTATCTATTTATACTTATGACATGTTCCGACCTCTATATAAGTGAGGGTCTGAGCTCTTTTAATTCCATCGTGTCACCGGGCCCGGGTACAGGAGGGGTAATATGGTTCTTATTATACATCCATGGGTATTATGAGCGTTGTGGTTCAACGGTTCAACCGATCTGAATCACTTTCTGAAGCAGTCACGTGGTATCGACAGGCAGCGAGGCTTCGTTTGTCATCGATGACGTCACTGGCCCAAAACAATACAAGCCTCGATACATGCTTCACAAAAAGCTTCGGGGATTACTCGACACACGCTCCCAAGCCTCGGCGCAATACGTAACATCACTAAAACTGTGTGACTTCACACAATCAGATTGAGCCTTCAGAGTAGAATGAATGAAACAGAGAGGTCTAGAAACAAAAATAGAACTTACACAGGTTTCTGAATCAGCAGTGAGTCCTATCTGGTTGAGATCCCACACTGCAAATAGTGAACAGGTTCTCAAAAAACATATTGAGAAAAAAAAGGGGCCAAAAATTTGCCAAAGATTTGAGAAGTATCAAATGTGAAGCCACCAGGAAGCCATTATCTTCCAGTGCTGTCATATTCCAGAACTGCATTCTACCTGGAGGCCCAGAAGTCTCAGGTGTTCAGAGACATGGCCAAGGTAAGGAAGGCTGAAACCACCACTGAACAAGACACATGAGTTAAAACGTCAAGACTGGGCCAAGAAATATCTGAAGAAAGATTTTTCAAAGGTTTTATGGACTGATGAGATGAGGGTGACTCAAAATCAACTCCCACATCTACTGCTGGTTTTTAGAAGACACTTTCTTCCATCAGTGGAACAGGAAAAAGTCTGCATCTTTCAAGAAGACCATGATTTTATGCAGGACAATGCTCACACATGCATCGAAGCCCTTAAAGATGAAAGAATAAAGACATGGCCCCCTTCCTCACCTGACCTAAACTCTATTGAGAAAGTGCGGGCCCTTCTTAAATGGGAGATTTACAGTGAAAGGAAACAGTCAACATCTCTGAACAGAGTAGATGAGATGGGACAGTGACATGGGAACATTTTCGTTTTTCCTTTAGTTGCATAATTATTCTGCACACTAATAGTTGCCTAATAATTGTGCACACGTAGATATTCTCTCCTAAGAAAGCCAAAACCTCACTTTTACTTCCTTAAATATTCAGGTTTGAGGTTTATTAACATTTTGGATTGACCAAGACCACTGTAGTTGTTTAATACTTAAAATAATCCTCAAAATTGCTTCAGACCCTGTCTACTTGGAACCCTCAGCACACCTGTCCACACCTGTTTAGACACAATAATCCTATATGTCCAGATATAAAGATCTTGCAAGACAACATCTGAGGAACTACACATTATTTTAGTGATTTGCATTACTGTGTAGCTCTATAAAAACACATATACTTTAGGCACGCAACATAAAGACAGTCGGACCATTTGAAAGTACAGTATTTGTTGAACATCTGTAACTAAAGCAAACACATTTGAAAGGAAACCACCAGGCACTGTGTTGGCACAGTGAAAGAGGAGACAAGAGTGTGTGAGGTGAGGAGGAGCATACTTGGGTGGCTTGAGGTCCCTGTGAATGAGAGCCTTTGGTTTCATGCCATGGAGGTAGGCCACGCCCTGGGAACACTGAAAACACCAGCTCATGGCATGGGAAGCAGTGTAATAGGGGAGGGGTTCAGCACCATGCAGCACTGTGGACAAGAGAGCACAGTCACAACCACCACCACACACAATGAACCTGAAGGGAAACAACAGAACATCATGACGCTGTCAGACACACATACATACATAAAAAGGGCTGGCTACCTTTTTGCTAAGTATTTCAACAAGGTAATTCCAGATGGAAATATTTAGCTAACATTGTTCAAAAACTGTTTTTACAACTCAACTGAATGTCATCAAAGTTATGGTGCCATAGGAATAACTTTGATAAAGATTCAGTGAGTGAGGAAAAGAGGTGATGGTAAGGTGTAAAGCACAGCAGACTTTCATATTGTTGGTTTCACAAATAAAGAAATTAGCAATCTGAACCTCTTGGGATTCAAATATGTTCCAAACATTGATGTCTGCGAAAGGAGATAATAGCCTATAAACAGTATGAAACACTCTTGCACACATCAATAACTTCCAGGTTATTAACACATCGTTTTTAGTTTTGTTTCTTTTAGTTTTGGCCATCAATTAAAAACTGCTGCATCAAAGTCCAATGTGGCAAACACTTGTAAATGATCAGACGGGTTGTAAATAAACATGGGTTTATGCAGATTTCCAATATATCACTTTACAGAAAGTAAACCATCCAATATGTTGGTAATAAGCCTTCAGAGGAAAACAGCGTTCATGCATTTCTGGTCAAAGTTAAAGAAGTTGGCTGCGGTGTGTGTTCATTTAACCATTCGCCTACATAAAAAAAAAGGTTAAACAAACCTGTCCATCGTCTGATTACTCATAATTCTTGACCCTGTGGGACTTTTTTAGCAATTCTAATATTGCAACAATACATTTTGGAATTGCAATGTTATTATAATGATAGCAATAATGGTCAAAACTAACTAATCATGACCCAAACGGCAATAACAATAGGTAACATTTAACTGGAACCAGTGAAGGGCGTACTATTTAAGAAACTGTTAGCAATTAAGTCAGGTCAGCTTTAGTGGTCCATATGCCCTATTCAGACTAATGTATGTCCTACTTATTAAACACAAGGTAAATGTTTGAGTTCATATCTGCACAAGTTTTAAGACACAAATTGTAAAGACATTGTTGTTTGCGTATTGCTATTTCCTAGGTCCATGTGGATATTTTCTACAGGGACTAACAAGGATGTGCTGCATGTCACTGTGCAAAGAGATTGGACAGGTGACTGAACATGCAAACAGTGGGGGGGTCAACTGAACAGGACTGCTTCTTACTGTATGTGTGTGCCAAGCTGTGTTCACTTCACTAATAGTAAGGCAAAACAAATGCTGACATGTGTAATATAAAAGTATTGTTCAGTTGTCCACACTCACCATTGTACAATGAGCCGCCTTCAGCATATTCCATCACAAGGCAGACCTGAGCAGGAGAGAATAGAATCAGAAACATCAGAGACACAATACAGACACTAGACTGTATTTTGACTCAGCATTACCGGTGTGAAGTTTAGAGATCAGATAACACATAATAACATTCCAGTAAACTTACTGGATTATTGCATGAGCCATACAACTTCACAATGTTGGGATGATTCACACGTGAAAGCTGCCGGAGCTGGAGACAAAGAGGATACGTTTTACACAATCCCATCTGTATGTGTGCTATTCAATACTTTAAGTACACAAATATGTATCACCAAGTGTGTCATTACAAGTATTCTGCCACGTGACTACTGATAGCACTGTCATGAAGTGAAGCAATTTAACTGTAATTGGATACAGAGGGAGGCATGTGGCGTAGTGGGTTAGTGTGTTGTGCGTTGGTGTTCGGATCAGGGGGTCACAGGTTCAAACCCCACTGCAGTCAGCATGTCGTTGTGTCCCTGGGCAAGACATTTCACCCCAAATTGCTCTTGTGGGGATTGTCCACAGTATTGAGTATGTAAGTCGCTTTGGATAAAAGCGTCTAACATGTAATGTAATGTAATATGGACAGTGTTTGTCAACTAAACATGTTGCAGTAATGAGACAAACTCAAGTATCAGCAATTACAACAATACCTCAACAATGAAGGCCTTCCTCTCTGATTCACTCTCAATGGTCTTGATGGCCACATCTTTGCCTTTCCATTTGGCTTTGCAAACAACTCCAAAAGCTCCTCTTCCCACCACCTGGAAATGGACAATTACGGTAACAGTTACTTGCTAGTCTGCAACTCATTCATCTAGAGTGCAAATAAACACAACCTACCTCCTCAACTTCAATATCCTCATGGTTGATTTCTTCAAACGGATATCCAGGAGGTGTTTCAAGTATATCGGCAGATGGTAACGTTAGAGACATTACTAGCTAACGACAGCTAGTAACTTACTGCAAAGAGAGCAAAATGCAGACAACACAAAATGTTAGCGTCTATTTTGATAAAGGATGTCCAGACTTGATTCAAGATAGCACACAACGATACAACTGGATGACTAACGTCTAGTTAGCCAGGGACATGCTAAGTAACATAATGACAAACGTTATCTAGCTCAACTTAAAAAGGATAGCACTATTCATAACAAGATCTCCTCGGCTTTAGCCTCCTGTCAGTTCACTCAGTGTGATGCAGCCAGCCAACTGCTCACAGCCTAGCTTCTTTAGCAGGGCTGCAATAGCAAAACTGTCACTGAGAGTTATCAAAGTTAGCTTTTGACTCACTTAACACAAGCCTAAAACATCATTATATCATGACTATGCCAGAAGCGCAAGTAAAAACAAGCTACTCAAGGCCTAGAGTGTATTAGCTAACCAGCTTGCTAACGCTGGCTGGCCTTGCTAACGCTAGCTACCGGGACATATTAGCTTAACAATCTGACCATTCGCAGTTGACTTGTCACCAGTGCCGGCTCTCTGGACATGGGGGTGGTTTCTGCTGTTAATGTACGGAGAAGCGAGGAGTAACGTCCATGTTCAAAATCAGTCTATCTCTATCCACTTGACAGCCAGACATAACTTTTTCACAACTCGTCTAGCTGGCTTGCTAGGAGTGTATTTTTATTCTCCGCAGGAACAGCTCCAGCAGGAAGTGAGTGTGCACTGCAAATGTGTCCTCCCCCCATCCCAGCCTTGGGTCACCAGTATTTATTGATTTGACATGATATTTTTACAAATAATTTGTTAAATTGTAAGTAAAAAAGTTCCTTCATTCCTGAGTGACCACTTGTGTTTTGTTTTTTTCTGTTTTCTGTCCATAATGCCCTCAGTTTTGAATTAATGTTATGAATAGTAATGTGCCTTTTTCTGATGTATTGAAATACTCATTCCAGCCTTTGCAAAGGAAAGATGTTCTTGAACATTATAATATAAGGTATTATGAGGTGAAACAAAAAAATAAGTGATCTTCGGCAGAACAAATAATGTTTATAGGCAGTGACTTAATATATAGAGAACATATTGAAAGAGTTGAGGTTTTAACGTTTTTAAGTGTTTGGTTGAAAGGCTTGATGTTGAGAAAATGGTAAGGAGTTGTGAAAAGGTGATAAATATTAGCAAAAAAACAGAGCTAGACCTGACATTGTTGGGGAGGTATTAATGATGGTGTTTGAACGGCAGAGGCAAGGATGTTGTGAGGGTATCTTATAGGTGGACGCACATTTAGGGGGGAAGGGCAATAAGTTGTCTGATTGAAGTACAAGTACTGTATATGCCTACTTTAAAGTGGTGATTAAGTAGCTTACAGTATTTGAAAAATAATTAGTTATATTCCACCACTCTAATTCAACAACATTTAAATCCATTATTTTACATCCATTCAGAATGCATTCATGTTTGAATGCTGATTGTAAGTTGCTTTGGATAAAAGCAGGAGCTAAATCAAATTTAGTGCAATGCTACATGTTAATAAGTACATATTTAATATGATAATACATCAGAATGTAACATTGGCAAGGGCCTTTCTAATGCTTAATGAATACTTATTTGCAAATGTTTTATTGTATTCCAGTTATTTTGTGGGAATGCTGATACAGCATTCCAACTATATGTTATGCTACGGACAAACGAGTTATTATTATTCCATCCAATTATTTTGTCCGTCTTCTCCTCCCACATTCAACATCGCAGAAACTCCGTTCAAACATCAAAACGTTCAGCTCGGTCGGGAATCGACTGCTATTACTTTTATTATTCATAACTTTCATAATTCCAGAGATACATCCCATAATTCATCAAATGTTTAACATTGAAGTCAATGGAGATATTCTTCAGACTTCAACAAATCTTCATGCGACTTCAACTGCTAACTGTTCATTCATACTTTCACTCAGAAACCTCATTCGAACTTTAAAATGTTACACATCTTTCTGACATTATTCGTGTAACACAACTTTTAAATCTGATTCTTACTTTTAGAGATATTAAACATTGTTCAGACCTTGTTAAAGAGGTTTTCTTCAGATTTTAACATTAACTAGAGTGCGTGATGTCACAGCTAGAGGGTAAGAAATCTTGAAATTTGCCTTCATATATTTTTTTAAAACTGCCATAATTCCCAAACCCTACATTCTTGAGACATCATTTTTCATGACAAACGTAGGAAAACATCTCGTAGCTTGAAAAATGACAAATAATTCAGCAAAAATAATTAAACAAAATGCCTCTTGAGGGCATGAAGTGACAAAAACGTTCAACATGTCTCCATTAAAGCCCATTGTAATTTCAGGCAGATATTTCCTCACAGCAGCAGCCGCACACCTTTAGTTAAACTGCCAAAAAGGCCACATTATTAACCCGAAAGTACACAAAAATTACACTTCAGATACTCAACTTCCTTGACATGCTTCACGTTTTGAAATTTCACAGATATCTGTTATCGTTCTTCCACAAAATCTGAGATCTCACCATATGCCGTTTCCATGGAAACGCATCCCTCACCATAAAACATGATGTCGCTATAACTCCTATGAAAATGTTCAAAAAGTGCTCAAAATTCACATGTGTGCTAACAGTCCAGGGACATGCCGTTGCCATGGCAACACAATGCCCGCCATGAAACACGGTTTTCTCATAACTTCAGTGAAAATGCTCCAAATGGCCCAAAACTTCACAGGTTTGGTAACACAGCCATCAACGCATCTAAGCGTATTATGGGATGTCATCAAATGCCGTTGGCATGGCGACAGATCATTCGCCATCAAGTTAGTTCAAAAGTTTGCATTTCAAATATTCTGCTGCTTTTCCAAGCCTTTTTACTTTCTTTTCTTCTCTCATCACACATTCAAGCCCCCAGTGTTCATGTATCATTTCAATCTAAATTCTTCACTTTCTTCTTACACATTACATTTCAGCATAGCAGTTTAGCGTCAGCTTTTCAGTATAAAGCATTCCCACTAGCAATTTCTTCAGGAATTGCATTCTCTAGTTGCATTTGGTGTTCCTACTAATTTCCATGGTGCTACTGCCCTGCTCCTGACCCTCGTGGGAAAGCCCTCCCATTGAATTCCCTTCCCCCATTTGTTTCCTTATGTGCTAATATTCTGATTACTGTAGATCTCTCAGGCTAGTTTCATTTTAGAATTGTTGCATGTCTTAGTGGGCCTGTAAATATGTTATAAATGCTAATTAAACTAACTTGACTATTGACTTGACAATTGACTTTGTGAGAAATACAACTTGTAGGAGCATCTCACTCTTGCCTTTCTTTACACACTTTGAGTTCTGCTGAAGTTTTATGTAACAATTTAGCCTTGCAAGCAAGACCCTTCTTGATCAGGCACGAAACCCTTATGTAAAGTCAAAATTACATTTGTGAGGAGGGATATAATATGAATACAACACTTGATGAATGCTAATTACATGCTCCACTCACAGGGAGTAATAAAACAAGCTCCCTATGGTGGCTTTCCAAACCACTAGGCAAGCACAACTCATACTAATGAGCGCCAACTCATTTGTTGTGATATTGAACAGAGAGTTGTTAATAGCAGGAGCCATCCTCTCCCCTCAAAATAATTATTCTAATCGCTCATTTCAACGGTGATTAAAAGGCTCTCACCTGGCAGTTTTTATGGGACCTCAGTACCAAAGCATATGGTTTGGGACCTGCGGCCAACAGGAAGTTGTTTGTTTACCCTCTGCTATCTAAAATCTTTGAAGAGACACTTCTCTCCTTCTGGACAGGTTACTTTCACTGCTAGCAAAGGATCATCATGTGACAAAATAGTCTAGTTGAGTACCCCAAAGTTTTATGTTGTGTATGTAGTACAGGTCCCCAGCACATAGTAACTGCCGGATGCTAACTTGCATATCTTGGGCAATTTGCACAATTAAGTTCTGTTAACCCTTATGCAAGTGGGTATTTTTTGACCCGGTGAGGTGGTTTTCTTGAAGCATCTTTGTAATCACATTTTTTTATCATTTCATATTCCAGCTATTCCTCAAGCAACATGTTTTGGATATCATGCCATTCACATTTTTTATTTACATTTTAAGAAATTGTAGTTTTTGTATTACTACCCCAAGCTTCCATAAGTGGGTCAAAGATGACCCGCATGCATTTTCTATGGAATCCTATGGGAACCTTTGATTCTTATCACCTGTGTGGCTGTCAGGACTAAATTCACAGTAGACCACACAGACTACATCAGAAGTGACACCTCTCAGGAAGATTATTGTACACAGCAAGATCTGATACCTGTCAGTATAATAATAATAATAATAATACATTGTATTTTTATAGGGATTTTCAAGGACTCAAAATCGCTTTACACAGGGGTGGGGTACCTCCGGCCCCCGGGCCGTATACGGTCCGCGAGACCATTTGATACGGCCCTTGAGGTAATTTATAAACACACGCAAACAAAATAAAATAAAGAAATCTAGACTGCAAAAGAATTAAACAAGCGAGTGCCTGTTTTTCCTGGCCAAGGTCAGGGTCCTTGAACACAACACCTAACGTGTTATCACGTGGTATATGTCTCGTTTGACAGGGGTGTAGTTCTGCCGGAGAGCACCAGAACGCCGCAGTTTTTGCGTGGCTGTGTTTTTAGTTGTAATCCCAGTGGCGATCTGTTCATCTGACATACTGATCATACAGTCAATAACGTTGTTGTTATTAGCATCTGGTTAGCTAGCTATGCTAACGAATATAAGAAGCTTTTTCTACAACCAGTGAGGTAAAGGCACATCTTTATATGATCATTATAGTTATAAAATAATAAGAGAATAAAGGAAAAACAGGTATAAAATACTATATGACAGTAAAAAAAAGTTGTTATTAATAAACAAGAATACAGTTTGAAAGGGGAGTGATTTGTAAAATATCCATAAAGAAAAAGAAAATCTGGATGTTGAGAGATGTATCCATAGATCTCTTAATTTTGCTCTTAAAGGCCCTGACACACCAAGCAGTCACCAGAGAACTTGCCGACGCCGACTGTTGCTTCGCCGTGTTCTCCTGCGTCTTGGCCATGTGTCGCACTGGAACACACCGCAAAGACTTCAGCCGAGCACGTACGAACTGCGCATGCGTGAGTGGCAATAACTCTCCTTACCAGCAGGCGGCGGTAGTGTGTATTCGTCATTCAAAAGAGGCAACAACCGGAAGACAGAGAAGAAGAACAGACTGCGTGATCTAAACAAACAACAAATAGCATGCGCGTTCCATGTTCACTCTCGTCCATCGAAAACATGTTTTGTGCGGTACTGGAGCTATCAGCCATTGGAGTGTTGCTTGTGGAAGACATTCTCAAGCAACCGTTTCGCTTCTCATGCACTGATTCGCTAGCTGAACAGCCAATCAGAGTGATGTCTTTGTCCGACTGCCTGTGGCCGACGCACGGCCGATTCAACATGTTGAATCGGCTGTGCGCCATGAAAGGCCAAATAAGGCGTGTCACGGCCGACGGTGCGGGACACACCAAATTGAGTTTGGGCGACAGGGCACGCTTCGTCGTCCGACTAACGAAAACGGCCGATTTCGGCCTAGTGTGTCAGGGCCTTAAAGTGCACCAGATTGATGCTTTTAACTTTAAAAAATCTTCCCTAGAGGAGGTTCACCCCCTATTAAAATCATGTTCACATGGATAGGATACTAA